TCTTTCATCGAGCTGCGTTTACTATCTTATATCTACGCTCCTTGAAACATGCTTACTTGAAAATAGATAAATTAGTTAGAGGATGGCCATAATTATACATAATTACAGCCAAATATAACAAATATCAATGAAAAATTATATCCATAGAAAGTTATATTTTTTTGCAACAATATAAATATCAATAATCAAAATTGCTTTAATTCTAAATATGAATGGTACGCACTGACTGTTATACTAAAAAAAAAAATAATCAATTATTGAAAGCATGTAACAAAAAAAAAATTTCTGTGACATATTTTATCAAGTACTTTTTAAATTTTCTAGTATTCAACTTCTGATCTAGATATTTTTATTAATTATTTAAATGACAATTAATTAAATTCAAAAACCTTCGCATTAATTATATAGAAAATTGATTTATCATTTTTCCATATAAATTCTTTAAAAAAACAAAAGGACCAAAAAAGAAATAAAATGCTATAGAGCGATAATTTAAATAAACACGTAAGACGCAAATACAGTCTTAACGATACAAATCATTTATAGCTACATTTATGCTTTCTTAATATTTTCTTGAATAGCATTAATACTTTTTTAATATAATATAGCATTAATACTTTCCAGATATTCGCTTTCGTATTTCATTATTATTTCTTCATTCAAGTTCGCTCATAGATTATTTCCGATGTCCAAATTTCGTAGATCAGTCCATACGGTATTACCGAATTTCAGATATTACTGCAAGACAAATTATGCAAAGTCACTCCTCTGCGTGCTCCTGCCTCGCATCCTTCGGCGTTGCCCTGCACTCGCCCCATTTGCCATTAATCTTGTCCATTGTTCCCTTCCCGTGCGAAACTACGGATTCTAGTCGTCGCATATTATTCCCCCTGTACCTCGCACTCCTTTGACCTCCTCACCTCGCGCAGTTTCTCGTTCTGAAGTTTCGCAGAAGATGATCGCACCGTCACGACGAAAAGAGAACGAGAACACGAGAGAGGAAACGCGCAGACTTGTGCGCTTTTACATTTACAACGTGCAACGCGCTATTACACGCACGTACGCATGATATTTCGTAATCAAATATATCTACTGTAAACGCAATGTACTGGTATATAAGCAAAATACACATAGAACTGGATATAAAGTTTTAAAATATAGAGAAAAGAGAGGAACTTGGAAAATAGTGTACATTGATGTCGACAGCTACAAAAGAATCGAAGAACCAAGATGAGAAAAGATAGGACAAAAGAAAAAAAATTAAATATTCAATATATTCTTTAACAAAAAAATATCAGAAATATTCCAAACAGCATGCATATCAAAATCGAGGCATAAGACGTCTAGAATATATCATTAAAATGTCTTACATTTCGATTTACGCGTGCTGTCTGATATGTTTATAGATGTTTACAGATTGTACGTATGTTTTAAATTTTACATGGTAGAAATAATTTTGTTGAATTTAAAAATTAGACAAGTAGATACAAATCTAAAACTAACTTTGTGAAATCATCAAAATAATTATGTAAAAAATTTAAGCATGATGAGCAATGTTGCAAAAAGTTTTTACATTCTAGCAACCAATTTGATTTGAGCATTTTACATAATTATTTCGATAGCCTAACAAAATTAGTTCAGATCTGTATCTATAGCTAAATGTTTCGATACCTCAACAAAACCGTTTTTTCCGTGCATATGAATCATAAAATATTCATATTATTTCTTGGGGGGAGAAAAAAAAATTATGCATTTAATGATTAAAATTTCTATCTCATTTTTATTTGTTTCCTCATGCTTCTGCCTACACAAAAACAAGTGCTGAGAAAGACTTGATTATAATTCTTAGCAAACTAATGTATACTTAATCGAGCATGACAAAAATCAAGACTCCATATAAATCGTGCAATAAAAAAAATAAACCTTGTAAGACTGTTTCTTAGCTGTGAAGTAAACAATGCACAAATAACTGAAATTCTTAAAAGGAAAGGCTGTTGTGCTATTAAAGGAGAAAATTTGCTGACAATGCATGCTCGAGCAAGTCGTAATCCGTGGCATTCCGTGGAGCAAGGTTTCGTGTTGAAGTAATCGCGTGCGGACGAAATCAAAGTTTACTGAGTTCAAACCTCGATATTCCTCTTCAGGAAGTATTCTTTTTCATCCCGAAAACTCAACTAGAGAAGTTCTCCCTACGGACATGACCGTCTCGAATTCATTACGCCACTAGTCAGAACGAAAGGAGAAATGAGCACGAAAGCGCAGCTACGATGAAAAGGAAGTGAAACGAAGGGGTGGAAAGAGGATGAACGAAGATCGGAATAAATTTATACGAAATTCGATAATTAAACGATAAGATCAAATACAAAGGCTTGGCAGGACATTATTACAATAAAAGAATCAGCTACACCTGCGTAACGTAATGAATTTCTTCTGATCAATAAGACCGTCTATCTTATTAAAACTGTCACGTAATAGTGACATTAACGTAGATGTTATAATGATATCATAATTATCAAAAGTATAGCCTTCATAACGAGGAACAGTTATCTAACAGTAATATCATACCGTTATGTTGGAATACTTTCATGAAGAAGTACAAAGAAGAAGTACAAAGAAAGATGATACATTTGTTATCATTAAACTTCTTTGGGAGATCAAGTTTCAGCACGTTGATCGAATTAAAAGCTTCGTGGATAAAATAAAGACTACGCGCAAACACGCGAGAACAAATTTAACTTTAAATATTCCATTTCCAATGTAAAAGAAGACTATAAAAAGACTATCTTATTCAGCATGCTACACCGTCTTGGGTTTATTTGAAATTTCTACAAAGCCTCTGTTTTAGCAGTAAATGTGTGTATGTTGTGTAGAAGACAACAATAACACTCAAACAGAGCACCAAAGTTGACTGAATCTTCGTCCTCTATGGGCTTCATTTCCTGAATTGTCCCAAAGGAAATATTCAGAACAGAAACAGAAGAGTAGTAAGTACCATAATATTACTTAAGTTATAGATATGTATAATTTGTATCATGCTTTGTCTTATAAAATTATTATATCCAATAAGTTTAAATATGTATTATAAATGTATTATAAATATGTAAGATAAATAAATTAAAATATAGAAATATGTAATAGGTATTTCACAAATATATATTCCTTCAACTAAACACACAAATAACAAATCTTCTAATTTCATTTAATTTCAAGCAGATATTACTGTTGGATATTCAGATAACGAAAATTAAAACATAAAGAAATTTGTGTCCAATCTCATTATCGCAAAATTAAAATTATCTTTAAATTTCTTTAAATACTTATAAATAAAATTCTCATTAAAAATAATGAAATATATATGATCCTTATTTGCCCGATAGATTTTCTTTTATTTCTACTAATTTATTTTCCATATATATTATTTGCACAAGATTAACTAATGGATTCCACCGCTATACATGATCTTAGAAACACATTGTACTACAAGTGCAAGCGACAACAGGTGAAGTCTGAGCAAAGGAAATTCACGATCTCGACTACGCAAAACAGTACACGCTAGTTTGTTAGCTACTACATACGTAGTAGCCCACATCGTGGCCTCGCTGTGAAAACAGTAATCAAACTTCGGCTCGTACAGGTCGAGCAACCCCAATGCGGCTTCGCGTATGCTTAAGAGGCTGCTACCCTCTGCATCAGCAATCTCTGGTTACATTTCCCACATGTCGACCACTTCCATGTGTTTTCCTTCATGTTAAACTACCAACAGTACTAATTCGACAGAACATTCACGGTTAAATCAAATTAAATGCAACAAAGATATAGATATGTGTGTCATTATAATAACCGAAGATATCATACTATAATATGCCCTACAGCTTAATAATCTGAATATATGTTTAAACAATTCGCGTTTGTATATTTGTAAAAAGAATCTGATGACATGTAAAAACGGGATCAATGCTGCAAGTTCGCTCAGCGATGGCAAAGCCACCAGAGTTAGCTTCTGTAACGGCCCTTGCGCGGGTCCCTCGTATTTCCTCCCTTCCGTCACCGCATTAGTAAACTGCCCGCTTCCTGCAACACTAACTGTACCCTGTCTTAATGGACCGTTTACCTCGACCGACCGACTAGACGACCCACCGCCCTCAGATTACAAGCTTGACCGCCGTCGCTAACACTTGCTTAGACGGGTCTCTCCGTACTAGTTCTGACCAAGGGACTTGATGGCTAGTATCGTAATGAATGCAGCTTAAACAATAGCGACGAAGTCAGAACTTGTATTGTTCAGGTGCTATCTGTACATTATGATGTTAGCGCGATCACGAGAAATTCGGTAACGTATTGTTATCACATTAAAGATAGACAGAAATGCATTACTTTAACTTCCTCTCCTAGTGGAACCGAGTCCTGACGTGTGACATGACAAATTGAGAAAGAGTATGTAGTAATTCCATTACCGAACTGAAGATAGATCGAATTATTATTCCCACATGTACTGTAGCAAAAAGTATTAGCGTCAAGAAAGCAATTATGAATGTAATTTATTTATTATTATCTATTTCTGTCTCATTTTTAAATCGTGAATGCGAAAACATATTTAATATGTCTTGTAATTTTTATACGTACCCATGATATTAAAAATTCGATATAAAAGTTAAAGATATAAAAGTTTTAAACATTCGTAACATAAAAAAGCATTATATACTGTTGCGTAACGTAAAAATTATTATGTATAAATAATGTAACAGAAAAAAAGAGGATACAATATTATAAGGCTAATGTCAGTGAGCAAGAAAAATGTAAGAGGCAAACGATGCTTCGCCATACAATATTATATCAGAATTTATGAAAAAAAACGAAGTAAACGCGTCGTCGCTTGTGAAATGAGGTACGATAAAAGCGGAACAGCCGAAGCATTTTTGGCCGCCACCCTCTATTTAAACAAGAACAAAGGAAAATCGTCGGCGCAGACGCTGTCATCGAACGACGCGTATGGACTCGAATCGATGTATATGTTGAAAATAGATAATGTCAAGCAGTATTTTAGCTACCTCTTTTAATACGGGTCGATGTGAGATATTTTCTCCCTGGTTCTGTGTGCGGCTTCCCTTCGAAGAGGCACGGAAGCATGTAATTTAGTTATAACAAAACAATTATGTTATAACTTGAAAAATTCGATTATCGATATTACGGCAAACATTTTAGTCGCTATCGCATGAACTTTGTTTCTTATAATGAAACTATTGTTTCGTATACTTCAAGTTCTTGAAAAAAATTCAAGGTTCTTCTTAAAATGTAAATCTTCCGAGGCCAGAGAAAATCATATTCCTCTTGTACTACCTATTTTTCAACGTTAATACTTTTATTCGTAATATTAAAAATATTACGAAAAACAAAAACATCGAAAAAAAGGTTAGCTATCTCGTTTTATATACTAAATTTGAATTTTTTGTACTTTTCAAAAATTCTCACTTCAAAAAGTCGTTTATTTACTGTGAAATTTGTGGAATTACGAGCGATAAAAGCTTACAAGAGCACAGAGGAAGGATAGTTTAACACGGAAATATTAATTTTGACAGTGGATGAACACTCGTTCAATCACATTATGTCATATAATCGATATCATTGATATGAAATAAATCGCTTCGTCGATATTTCATTTAATGGCAAGCAGTTAGCAATTGATATCATCGTTACAATATAAATCGTTTGATGAAAAGTGATAGCCATGAATAAATTGACGCATATATTTGTAGGAGTGAATACGAAGCTGTTCCATATTCCGTCCTGTGAAGGCATCACTATTGTTCGCGATGAACAAGCCAGGAAGAAGAATAAAATTGTAGGAGCATTACCATCATTGATATTACGTTAATGAGGAGACTCGTATTATTTATCAAACACATAACGATCTTTTAATGGATTTCTGACGAAAGAGGTGAATGGAAAAAAATGAAACAAATTCATTAAATAAGTATGTGTGAATAAATACATCTGGATCGTAAAATGGAACTTCTCATTAGCAATGAAAATAGCATATTCTGTCATATAAAACTTTGAAATAAAAAACAAAGAGTAGATAGTATTTGAGTAGACAGTAATTGAATAAGTAATTATAATTATTGGCAGTATGTGTCATTAAGTAATAATGATAATCACAAGTTATAAAGTAAAAATGATTAATGCACTTCTGTTAAAAACATATTTCAATATTGTTTCATATACACGTAACACTTGATGAAAACAAAATATAATTAATTATTCAGGTTATACTTTTCTCAATAATCTCACATGCATGATGCAATTTGACAAAGGCACTCAATGAAGAAAAGCGTAGAAATGATACTTTTCTATCTCTAGATTGCCGTTTGCCAAGCATTCTTCAGACATTATCCGAATCCTTATGCGACTCACGTTTTATCGGAGAATATCCTGTATCGAAAAGTCGGCGGCACAAATCTCTTCAGCAAAAGTACTTTTTGCAAAAGAGTTACCGCTTTGTTACCGAACCGGACTCGGAAACTAATGAGCACGTAGTTTTTCCGTATGTATTGCTTCATGAAATATTCTTTCTACAAGCAATCTTAATATTTCTACTTCATATATGTAAATTCAACAACTACAATTTTAAATTAAATTTCATGTAAATTTATGAGCAGTACCGACTGTAACTTAAGAGTGTAAATATGTACGAAAGCTATTCCAAGTAAAAAAATACGAAAGTTGTCAAGAAGTATACATGAATAATTTAAGCAACTTATATGTATACAGTTTTTCATCAACTCATTTATTGTCATCATATAATTCGATAAAGCATTATAAAAGATAAATTTTTTTTATATTACTATTACGGAGAAATATATAATATTTCTGAAAATTACATTTATTTTCAAGATTTTCAATCGTTTTGAAAATATTATCTTTGTTTATTTTGTTTTAATATATTGTAAAAATTATTATGTTATAAATCAAAATTGTTACAAACTTCCTTTACCAAACCAGGAATAATTTCATTATAGAACAATCTTTCGTGTGGATAGATGTTGGCAGAACTATTAGACTACGTTTCGCATTTTCCGCATTTCTAACGTCAGGATCCAAAATGGTTGACGCAGATATTAGGAGCCTTGCTGATAATATGCACATTTTAAAATTTGCAAGGTATAAGATATAACTTTCTTTGACCTCTTAATCGATCGGTGCTATTATCACTGCCGCATCATTCATCTCAGAGCAGCAACAAAAATACATTTGAAGAGAGACTATTTGTAATAAATTTATGAGCGAATTCAGGTACTAATCCTCGTGAAAAGCATAGTCGATCTCAGCGCGATAGACTAGTCTCGTTAACCGGGAACCTCGATCATAGAAAATTAGTAGCGGAACGACGGAAATCCAACCACGGAAACGACTCGTATACCCAACCGCAGCGATCCCGATAAAACTCTGACGACTCATCGTACCAACGTCCGATCGCCTTTCAATTGCGATCTCACGGATCAAATAATCAGGGGAGTCTGTCACGCACGAACAGTCAAGAACAGTACAGATAAAGAAGGAAAGAAAAAGAGGGAAGAAGCATTTCATCTTGTCTCGAAAGCAATCAAAACTAAATACGTCGATATATAAAAATTATAAACGAGTAAATTGTAAGACGATTTTGATGGTAAAGATTTCTTTATGTACTCGCGCAACAGAATGAAAGGTTTCCAGGAAAGCCAGGAATCGCCATCGATTGACTTCATAATGCAACTGTATGTAATTTATGGGTTGTTATACTTTCTTGTCCTTGTGTTTGATTATTTTTTATGGACGAGTAAAAATGATGGCTTCCCCCTTTTCGTAATTTCGTCAATAAATTACGTGGCTACATAATAAACAGCTGTAAACTTTGAACTTACTATTTCTATCGCGAAACATAATTTTGCAATATTTATCTAACTCGCGATGGAGATATTCATTGTGTCATTTAAATAAATTACTAACTAATGTACTCCTTGACTTATTAATTGCATTTTACTATAAAAGAAACTGATATAGAATTTTATAGAATACTGCAGTATAAATAACCGTGCCATAAATAAAACTCTGTTTTGTCAACGTCAGACCTACAAATTCCGTAAACTACGTTCCCTCGGCTACGTTTTTCAGGTTGTATCCGATTTGCGCAATGTATACAGGAACACCGCGAATTATTCATAAAGTTCCTTTTGACGCTTGAATGAAATATAGTGCAGCACAAATACATATCTTATTTAGCATAATCTTCAAAATCTACGGTAAAATATATTTATCACAGGAAATTAAATCGTCAGAGAAAATTACTTTGACTTGTAAGAGGAGAAGAACACTCATTTACATCTCAATTAAATCGATTATGTCAAGTACATCGACTGAATCAACAGTAACCTCAAATAAATATCGCCGAGATAAATTCTAAAAAAAAACTTGAAAAAAATTTATTGCGAAACTTTTGCAAATTTTAGTAAAGCTTAAAGCGTCGAAATGAGTACTTTCAAAAAGAATTTATTATGATATACCTTAATTATTATCCATGACATCAATATGTAACACATAAAAACTCATTAATATAAATACAATGATCTGTTTAAATAAAAATAAAAAATCATGAGACGTTACAAGTTAAAGTAATTTAAACAATTAGAAAAAGATTTTAAAAAGAAAAAAATATTGGATTATTGAAAGGGAAAAGAGATTGAAATAGAATAGAAAATATAACGCATAGAAAAGAGAACTAGAACTCATTAGAGCAGTTCAAACGCAGTTGAGATGTCGCAAGAATCTATACCCTCCATCTCTACCTAGATGAGAAACCTTATTTCTGTGTCGAATTGAATCATCCCTCCTCCGAGAGTGCAGAATGCGATCGAGAATGGAATGGAGATGCGATATAGCCAGCTTTTACGTGAGATGCAGCCATATAGTCGGCTGAGCCGATAAAAAGACCGTCATGTCGTAGGTATATCATTCAACAACTATGCGATATGCATTCATTCTTACGCTTTAGTATAGAGATATACTGATTAATTACTTCAAAATAATGAATGTTGCAGCTGATTATTCGTATAACGCGCGTTCGAATATTTATTTACTGAGAGATATTTATTAAATATTAATATGCTGCGAAAATTTACTTTACGCCTGTAAATCTTGACTGTTTTAATGAAATTCTTACATAAATTATGAAAAATATATAGGTATCAATCTGCCGAAAATTATATCTTTCGCGTTCCAAAAATTATTTCACTCGCTTATCCAATCACAATCATTGTCACGTCATAAACCATTTTTTATAGGCAAAATCAATACCAAGATCAATAGGAAACGAAACCAACTCGTAAAACGTGTCTTTTGGCGATGCAATAAAACTTCACAGTTAACTTCTATCTTATCAGTTCGTGCTACCTTTCTATTCTGTCGTGTACGTGAACGGAATGTAATATAATACTATTCACCACTCATGTATTCATGTATGCGTCGTAATGTGATAGTATAGGAATCGCACATATGTATATTTCTACACATGTATTATACATACATACATATATATCCAGAAAGTCATTTGTCTATCTTCGTAATCATGTGTTTTGATCACAAAGCAGATAGTATGTACATTATGTCTAACTTCGTGAATATGCTTCTACATTTCAATACGCTGTTACAAGATCATAGAATAAAGAATAGCCATAAGATAACAGAATTCTGTGAAATAGAGTAAACTCAGGTAAGATGGCCATATAGAAAAGATGACCACAAGTTTTTAGAATTACTACAAAAATGCTGTATTTAGCAATTATTGGAGAAATTACAACCTATGACCATCTTTTTCCTATGGCCATAATACCCGAGAGAATTTACCCTATTATTTTTATCTTATATTATCATTTTTTGTTAATAAAAATTCTAACTCAAGCAGATACAAGAGTACTAAATTTAGAAAGAAATATGCCAAAGAGAAGATACTTGTTCACATAATTAAAATCGATAAAGAAAATGATAAGACGGAAAAAGTATGTATAAACAAAAGAAAAACGCAAAAGGAAAATAATTCTTTTAAAGAAAAAAAGACGAAGAATTCCAGACGCGATCGTCTGTAACAATGAGCAATACCGGTTTTTAATAAACGCGCTATAAATAAATGGAATTAATATTGCCGTTCAAGTGGCCGAGCGTGGAATGAGTTTCTCGTACTGAAGAATTCATGGCGTGCTGAACATGCGATTCGACGAGAGAGGATTTCGTCCGATAGAGAACCGACGATGAGAAATAATAGAGGGTCAGCTGCGCGCAGCGGGGATGTCATCAGCAGTCGCGGTATAAAAAGCTACCTCTCCCATACAACATCGTCGTGCAATTAGCACGGCGTCAAAAGAATACAAATCCGACGTCAGCGCACAACACAACAGCCTCCAATATTTCTCATTTGTCCTCCTGAGTTACATACTGGAAAATTTTTATCCATTTAATACGATGTATGGTAAACCTGACGCGATCTCAGACGCGCGTATTGATTTTATAACTAAACAGATTATAACTAAACAGCGAATAGTGACCTGCAAAAATGCAAAAATAATCATGCAAAAATAGAAACTTCGCGAGAATGCTCGTCTCTTTACGTTTGCTTATGGATAGCGAATTTTGGAACGGCTAAAAAATCAATAGTCCTTTATTTAACACGATATTCCAATCATATATGCAATGACCCACGAAACTGATCAGATGTACTGCACAACAATTATCTATGAATATCTACGACTAACGATTTGAAGAAAGTATATAATCAAGAAAAACAGTTTTTTTAATATCAATATAACACAAGGAAAGAAATATCTATGATCTAACGCTTTTGAGGCTTTCACGGGTATTTTTTTCAAAGATATCAGAAAGTTTGCGGGTTATCGGCGTGTCTTTATCCATTGCTAGTGCCAACATTTCGTGAACCTTACTGTTCACTTTATCAGGGCGAGGTTCACGAAACGTTGGCATTAGCAATGGATAAAGACACGGCGATAATCCGCAAATCTTCTGATATCTCTTCATTAGACATTTTCGTCCATGAATTTTTAAATGAAATTTCTAGAAATCATACAATTTCATCAGTTTTATAAATTATTATATATACTATAAGCCTATTATCGTATTGATTAAATTCATATATTATAATATTGCTAAAAAAATCAAAAAGAAATAGGTCTTATAAAGATATAATGCATTAAAATTTCGGAATTTATTATAAAAAATTCAGCGTGATTTGTTTATCAAAAATAGAATTAAAAAGTCGATAATAAAAAGAGAGAAACTAATGCAGAAATGTGCGAGTTATTTAATTAATAAAAATTAGGTAAACGCGCATTTAATTTACACACAATTGCCATCGAATATTATTTAAAGCAGTTTTTTTATAAAATTGATATATTGTAATTCTCACTGTTGCTATCATGGTTTATAATGGATTCAGTTAATCAGCATACAATTAATCGGCAACGTGAATGAGGCTAATCCGCCTCAATACAACGAAATATCGCGTCCGATTCCGCGAAAGCTCACGATCCTAATCCGCTTTACTTCACCGTGAATACGATCTACGCCCGAATGAAATACATGTCGTACTTCATATCTATCGCTTTTCTCAACTGTGCTTTCTGTTAGCTATCCACATAATGTTACGGTCCATTTTAGAAGAAATGTACGTACACCCCCCTTTCGATCTTCCCTTTCAAGTTTTATTTTCAATGGAAATTGTAATGATCATTCAATATCATACGATAAGCGAAACCAATTTTCTCCTAATAATAATATACAATATTTTTGACGAGTAAATTTTCTATTAGAAATAATATAAATAAAAAGATAGCATTTTTTTTTTAAATGTCACGATCATTTTAGGAGTCAATAATAATTCACTGCAAAGCGACACTTACGAATAATGCTGAACAAAATATAATATAGTTTAAAATTATTTTAAATATATCTTTTGTTAGTTGTATCTTTTGCATAAATAATATACATGATCTTTGTCTTTATATATATATATATATATAACATTTTCATAAACATACTTTATTTCTATAAATATTTAGTCGACTAAATCATACGAAATGGACATTGAAATATTTTCGATATCCTTCTGCAATTAAAATGGGTAAATTCTATTACTCTCGAGCAGAAAGAAAACCGAGATAGACAAGGAGAGGAAGAGAAAAAAAAGGAGGAAGAAAGAGAGAAGAGAAAGAGAGAGAGAGAAAGAGAGAGAAAGAGGCATTGAACAAAATGTGCGGATTCAGTCGGCGGATGTTACGTGTTTGCGGTAATACCGACGAAGAATGGATCTATAAGCGTGGTCCCGCAAAGAT